ATAATTATATATCGTCAGCCTAAAAATACCAATAGAATATTGGTTATATCTAGGCAAGCTCTAGTTGATATGACCTTGTCTCTAATTATCTCACATCTCCAATTACTAACCATTACAATTTCATTAGAATAATTATCTCACTCCCTAGAATTGTAATTGCATATTTCCTAGAAGGAATTAATTAATAAAGTGATAGCATCATATCATAAATAAAATATATGTAAGAATTTGGTAAAGCATTAAAATGTTTTTCTGTTCATGTCCAATGATTTTTGTGTTATATATCAAACTGAAATATTTGTTCTATATTTTAATATGAATATATTACTTGATAATATTAAATTTATTTATTTATTATATTTATAATATTATATTAATGTATATTTATTTATAATGCTCTTTTTCTTAATTTTTATTTTCTTTTTGACAATTCTGTTACCATCTTCATTACAATGTGAATTATTGTAAATAGTTTCACGCGCAATTATCTAGATCGGATATAGCGTGTCTTATTTGCAACTGATAATAAATAAATAAATAATATTAAATTTTTGCTGTAAAAATGGTTAATTTCAAAGGCTAATAAAAATTAAAAATTTTTTTAGTGGCGATTTTACATATTTATTTGTTTCCATTCTTATCGCTTTTGTAAATGTATATGGACGACTTTATATGTTTTCTAAAGAGAACAAAAAGAAAAAAATATATAACAGTAAATAGAAGGTATTAATGGTAATTAGATATTATTAAAATATGTGGTAAGTTTTTAATTAGGCAGTTATTTCAAAAGGCGATTAGGCCATGACGAATGGGAAGCTCTCATTGGCTGACAATTAAGATAAATTTAAAATAATGGTCGTGGACTGTGTAATTGAAACATGCGATATAGGCATTAAGTTGGGTTAGTTTTGGGCTCCAAATTGGGAAAAAAAAACTTATTTGCACCTTGCACGGTAACTAAATTTGATTTATATTTTTCTTTGTTTTGTTCTAAATTGATTAAATACTTTAAAAATTTATCTTTTGCTTTTTGGATCCGCGGAACATGTCAATTACTCGTTAAATTCGTTTGATATATACAAACTCAAACCATTTAAGCTCTTTTTTTTTTCTTTTTATTATTTATGGTGAGCGAATAAATTTAAAACGTTTTTTAATATTGGAATATTTTAGAAAACGACTTGGCATTTTCTTTGTGTGAAGTAAAGATCTCGAAGGAACTATAACACTATATGATCACATTTGGAACAATACAGAAAGAAATAGAAGATATTTTTCTATAAATTAACTAAGGACATACTTCAATAAAATGAAAAGATTTAAAAGTACGAATGTTTCTTTTTTTACATAATACAAACTTCTACTGCCCTTACTGCGATGAAAAAAATATATTGGGAGGGCTTAACTCATCAGTGGTGAACCCTCCCAGCGGTTTCGCCAATTTAATCTACCAGACCGCTTCTCAGAGATCTACTACTGTATTGGACAATTCTGCTTATATACGCAGCGCTGAAGGATGGAATCTCAGAAATGGCTTTCAAGAAAACTATGGACATAAGCTTATAGGATTCTATATAACTTCTTCAAATCAGTTAACGGAAAAAAGGAACTGCTGAGCACCATAATATAATAGTGACTATATTAATGTAATATATAGTTGTAAAATATGTATATTCAATTGGTAACGGAATTTTGGAACAGCGACCCTTTAAATTGCTACTTCTGCAATGTTGGCATCCAAGACAATTTGGTCCATATCTATTCCATTCCTACATGAAAAGAGACTGGAAATTCTCGAAATTTCGGGGCTAACTCACTACAATGAACAACATGTATATAGAATCTTTACTGCTCTCCTGCTGGATAAAACATTTGTTCATAATTATTTTAAAATTTTCAAGGCGATTGATAAAATGAGAGAAGAAGTGCTCAATCCCACAGATAACGGCTGATTGCTCCCCCTCCCCTCTAAATTGTTTTTCCTCCTCACTCATTTACATATATAACTTTTTAGGCGAATCCCCTTATGAGACAATAGTGTCTTAATAAAGTTTTTGTTGTTGTATATTCAATTGCGAATATCCAATTTAGGGTGTTTATCTTAATAAGGGGTTTTGTTATTGTTTTTGTTGCTGTTAATTTGTACTTTTATAAACTTAATTATCTATATTATAATTTTAATGATATCCATTCTTCTCCCTCTATCCTTTATGAACATTCATATTTTGAAGAGGTTTTATAAAAAGAGAGAATTCAGTTTGAATAATAAATTATTGTGTTATGCTATATTTCCATAATTCATAAATAAGGTTTAATTTTGGGGGGGTCAAGAATTATAAATACATATCAATATATATTACACATTCCTTCTTCATATAAATATACCAGGTGGTTATCAATCATGCAAATATACACATAAACAATCGATAATTAATTATAAAATAACCCATCATCTCTATTTAAAACTTTTAAAATAATTATTTTGGCTATACCCGCAATGTAAAATAAGTCTATTAAGATGAGGCTTTCGGAATGTTTTGATAAGGGTACGTAATAGGTCGTTAAATTTAATGGAGTGAGGAATTTTTAGCCGCTAATATTCCAAAGTAGATTGCTCTCTTTTGACGCCTTCACTAAAATATAAATTAAAATATAAAAGTATTTTTTAAACCTTTTATCTTTATTTTCTAATAAGATTATTGTGTATTGTTTTTATGTTGAATATTCATATATGAATTGGATATCTAGAAAAGATGTTTCATAAGCGTTAATTTACAATAATCCATTTTATAGAAGATGAAATACTATATATATATATATACATATATATATATATGAAGAATGAATGACCTTTAAATGTACAATTAAACCTATCTATAGCGCCTCCCTCTTGGAACTCACCAAAATAGGGTGCTATAGAGAGCGGGTGCTATAGACAGGTTTAACTGTATAATTTTATCCATAATATGGTGGAAGCTATCCTTTTTTCAACATTTTTTAATTTTTGCTTTCAAATGTCCTCTCCACTGATATTTTCTGATCGTTTATGAAGAAGTTACAACCCTATTTATAGTATTATATCGTACCATTATGGAAACATTGATAATGTGCCTCTAAACGCTCTACAAGAGATGGTATCAATAATAAAACACACCACACAATAAAACACACATAAAACAAACCATGGTTTTCGGTCTAATGGCCCTCGTCCATTCAGTTCGGATTTCAATTTCATTTGATCCAAGAGAGTTCAAATGAAATCTTCCGAATTTGACCAAAAGAATAACCCTTTAGCTAGTAAATAGTATATTCAAATAAAATAGCCATCAGGTGAACTAACGTTTCAGGTGAATTTGCAAAACGCTAATGTTATAGTTTTGTGTCAGTTACCAGTTTCCGATAGTGTGTTGAGACGAAATTACGCTTAGGTTTAACATCTATTTTGAATTAAGAGGGGGACCGTTATTTTTATATTTCAATATCCTTTTTACAAAATATCGATCAAATACCTGTGTTAAATATTTATTGAGTTTGACCAGCAACTGTACTCTCATGACCAAAACTTAAGGAAGTTAAAAGTCTTTGATATCGTCTTGTGTCTTTTTTTTTTTTAAGGAGACAAATTCAGTTTGGTTCACATTTGTTTATCTCGTATGTCTTCAATAAAGGTCACTGTAGATCAATTATCTTTCAAATTTATTGTCTGTGAACCCCAATATGCTTGTTAATATATATGATTTTAATAAAATATTTATGTATGCTCTATAAACACACTATTTTGAATATATATAATTGTAAAAATATGAAATTTTGAAATATGCAAACATAACATAGAGCCACTCAAAAGAAAAAAAAAGAACACAATTAGTTCCACATTAAATGCGCCTGCTGTTTGAAATGATTTATATTAACGCCATCAATTTTGTTTTTCAAACAATATCTCTATTGAAAAAAGTTCAAACTAGTATAAAATATCAAATATAGATAATTAAAAATCAGAATGTCGTTCGAATTGGAATGGTTAATAAATATAATTATTGGTAGTGAATATTATGATTGCATTTTGAGATATATATCCCAGGGCGCTAAAATAATTTGCTACCGCCTTTCCAGATTGATTATTAAATTTAATGGCAATTATCTAAAACTTGATTAAGTTTTCTAATTGACAATCAAACTTTGGCGCTCCATCACCTAATTGGATATAGGATATCTGCTTGACTGATTGTCCAATAGGCGAGTAGCATGTAAACACGTGACCTGAATTCTCAGCTTTATATCAAATTTATCTTTGTTAAACACATTTTATTCTATACATATATTCTGCTGAATATCTATATACGCACTCAACCTATTAACGTCTTTTTATAGTGTTTAAAAGTATCAAATATAGTGTTTAGTAAATATCTATTTAATATATTTTTTATTCGTTCTATATAAAAAAAATAAATGCCAATTTAAATCATATTTTCCTCAATACACCAATACCTCGCTTTGCGTCGTTTCGTTCTGCGTTTTTTCGAAGTTGCGTCGCTGCTTAATTTTTACTGATTTTCACTCTGCGTCGTTACATTTTCGAAGTTGCGTTGTTTTGGATTCGAGTCTTTAATATTTTTTTGATTTTTTTCTCCTAAAATATGGCAACACCTTTGTTTTTTATTGCGCCATCACATATTTTCACTTTGCGTCGTGTTTTATTTGGAACGTAACCCCGACGCAAAGCGAGGTATGGGTGTATATTGTTTATATTGATTCTTCAAATAATGTTTTACGCCGAATATTTATGAATAGAATGCAAAGGCTCATCACTATGTAATTATTACACATACGTTTAAAATACTGTTGATTGTAAAACGACATTTGAAAATTATCCCGCATGTGTTTCTTTTCAACGAATAATAAAAATTCATTTTAAGGAGAAATAACGATTATTTCTAACCTTAGGGATGAGGTATGAAAGGATAAATTGTGAAGAGTAATGATAAACGGAAAAATAAAAGTGTCCAGGCATGGGAATCGAACCCACAGTGTTCCACTTACTGGACAGATGCCATGTCTACTAGGCCACTGTCCATGACCATTAATACTGTTGATTGTTACTGGTTGAAAATTTAACCATATATAGTTAGAAATGGAGGAGACATAGGCTTACACCGAGGATTATGCAAATTAAACCGATAACGGATTGAACTGACGGTCGTTCGCCATACCATTCCACAATATTTGAACAAACCCTTTGGAAATTTGACAATATATTGAGTTAGGCTTAGTGTATATAACAAGGAGTTTAAATTCTTAAAGAAAGATAGGCGAACAATCTCGTCTAAATATCGGAGATATATTTTAATAAATAATATTGATCCAAAAATGCACTTCTTTTAATGTTTTTAAAATCGATTGCTAAATATTTAACAATATATATATGTAGTAATGGGCCAGGACTATGTAAATTAACCCGATAACGGTTTGAACTGAAGATATCGTTTCTCAAACTATTCCACAATATTTGAACTAACCCTTTGGGTTTTAACAATATATAGAGTTAGATTTAGTGTATATCAATATATTGCATATATAATATATGTATAGTGATGGCCCAGGATTATGTTAATTAACTCGATAATAGATTGAACTGATGGACCTTTACCATATTATTAACAATATTTGAACTTTATCCTTTTGGAACTTTGACAACATATATTAATAGATTTAGGTTTGGGGAGTAGATATATATATATGTATGACCCAGAACTATTTTAATTAATTCGAATTTTGAATCTTTCGGCGTTCCGGCAACACACTATAGTCATAATCATAAGCTTGTTATGTCTTTAATTCAATATGTACTTGATACATTATAATAGGCCATTTATGTATTCGTATTTTTTCCCGCAGCATGATATTTATACATAATATACCATCCAATCCTCAAGAGAAACAAAACATACAACTTTAATAAGAGCCGGAAAAGGGTCACCAGAACTTCAGGAAAATATATTATTGATATTTGATTGATGTAGAAATATCCATTACTTATATAGTATATATAAAATTATTTATTAATATAGAATTTATATCCCTTTCCCAAATTTATAGTTTCATATATATCTTTTGATACTGAAAGAATTAATAAATACCGTTAGATATGGGTCCATACTTGTATTAATAGTTTATTTGTGAATCAACTTTTTGTTATCATACTACTTTGAATTTCTTTTCATTTTCCCGTCTCTCCTTTTTTTATGTTTTTTCCCCCTTTCTTTATGAAAATGATGTATGGCGAGTCATTACAGGGAGGAAATGTCCTAATAAAGCAGTTGTTGTTGTTGTTATCATACTACTGTTTATAGCTTTCTTTCATTGCTCTATTTAGAAAATGGATCATGTATATCATGTAAAAATATATATAAAATAATTGGAATAACATTTCTTAACTTTTACGAAAATAAGTTTTTAATTTCATTCAAAACATGGAATAAATAATACCAATCAGACTTTTATGAGTTAATCATTATTCAGAAAAACTTTACAATATATCTCTACAATACGTTTTTTAAAAATTCTTATATAAACAATTACTCTATAAATTGTAAAAGAATTCCATTTTTGTTTATTAAAAACAAATCTCTATATATACTATTCTGAGAATAAACAAGCTTTATAATATAATATAAATTGAAATTTGAAATATTTTAAATGAAGTGTAAGTATGTGAAATTTCTAGACGTTGGAAAGAGTCACATTTCAGGTCGCGTGTCGTACCCTCATTTTGCAAGATTCTCGCGACACTCTGCTATTAGCATTTATAAATATTTAGAATGCCATTTACGCATGTCACTCTCGTCTGAGATAATATTTTAAAATTAGGTCATATTGATCTATCATACGAGAATTAAAGTAACGTGCTATATTCTAATCAAGGCTGTATTAACCATTTTATCTTAAACATATTTAAACTGATATTCAACCTATAACTAATTTTATTTTAAAGGGCGTACCTGGATCTGTAAAGAAAAAAAATGATGGATCGCCTTTTGACTCAAACTTTAACTAACTGTTGGATATTATTTTTGAAATATTATTTTTATTCTTTATAATATTAATCAGTGACTTAATAATCTGTGGTGTTAGGAAAGTATATATTTAAGCTGATATAGAGGTAAGAGTTAATATATTGTTGCACCAGGTTGCGGCTTGGCAGACTCTTCAGCCTTGATTCTCTCCAGTGCTGGGTCTTGCATCTTACCAGAGCGTGTTTCAACCATCCTACAAATTTATAAAAGGGAATAATGAGATAAGTCTACTTTATGTAGCCACCAGAATAATTTATTTATTTTCTCACCTCAAAGAGAGCAGTGAAGTCACAGTGTACCTAAATACAAATGATGATAATCTAAAAATAATCTGTTTTAAATAAATATCATAGAATATAAAAATAAATAAATATATAATTTAAATTTCAAATATATTAAAAATAATATAATAAATACGCCATTAATCATGATGTAACACTTCCCCCTCTCCAGAGGTCGTCACGTCCTCGTGAGTTACCTCATCAATTCTCTCAAAATAGGGTTTGAGTCTTGAGACATGGACAATCAATGGGTCTTGGCCAGGATTATCTTTCGGCTCAATTAAGTAATTTACGTTAGACAGCTTCTTTAATATTCGATATGGGCCAAAATATTTTCTCAATAGTTTTTCGCATTTTCCGATTTTCCTGACTGGTGTCCAAACTGCCACTAAATGTCCTGGTTCATAGATTTTCTCATTGTGTTTTTTGTCATAGTTTCTTTTCATTCTTTCCTGAGTCTTCTCTGTGTTGTTAATGACTACCTGTCTCGTCCTTGCTATTTTATCTAAGTAGTTTTCTATATATTCGTCGTAATCGTCCATGTTACTGTCCGTTGGGATATTCTCGTCGTCTAAGAGGGACATGGGTTCCCTTCCAAACAACAGGAAAAATGGAGAGTAGCCTGTGGTTTCTTGAATCGTGGTATTATACGCGTGGGTGATAAAAGGGAGGATTTCATCCCAGTTCTTTTGGTCTGTGTTCACATACATGCTGATCATATTGATTAAAGTTCTATTTAGCCGTTCCGTTAGTCCGTTAGTCTGGGGGTGGTAGCTCGTTGTGAAGCAGTGTTTCACTTTGCACATTTTCATTACCTCCTTCATCAAATTGCTAGTGAATTGTGACCCTTTATCGCTAATAAGAAATCTTGGGGCCCCGTGACGTAAAATAATATTTTCGATTAAAAATGTAGAGACTTCTTTCACGGTTGCTTCTGATACTGCCTTTGTTTCAGCATACTTGGTATAATAATCAGTCAACACAATTATCCACTTCCTTCTTCTTTTCGTTGATGGCAAGGGGCCAACAAAGTCAATTCCGATTCTTTCAAAAGGGTAGTTAGCTGGGGGAATAGGTTGTAGAAGTCCAGAAGGCAAGTGATTTGAACCTTTCCGACTTTGGCAAAGATGGCACGTCTTTACAAATTCTGAAACATCTTTCAACATGGAAGGCCAATAGTATTTATTCTTCAATCGGTAAGTGGTTCTGGCGACGCCCAGATGGCCATTCAGCATATGGTTGTGGTATTCACTCATGACTTCCTTCCTTCTCTTCTTTGGCACTACCAGCAACCATGCCCTACCTTCAGGATTTGGATTTTTCTTGTAGAGACACCCATTTTCTTCTTTGAAGTTCTGTGTAATTGAACGCTTGTTTCCACTAAGGTTCTCCTTAATATTCTCAATAAAATCATCCTTTTCGTCTATTATTTGATTCAGAAATAGTCTTTCATAATCTTCGTCCCATTCGTTTTCAGGTAAGGGTCCTCTAGATAGACCATCAGCGTCCAGATGTTTTTTACCCGATTTATGTATGATTTCGAAATTATATTCCTGAATCTTCAGTGCCCATCGTGCTAATCGGCCGGTCGGATCTTTCAGATTCTTAAGCCAGCATAGTGCGTGATGATCAGTTACGATTTTGAAGTGCCTTCCATATAGGTAGGGTCGTAACTTGGACATTGACCACACAACAGCTAGACATTCTTTTTCGGTAGTCGAATAATTTTGCTCAGGTTTGCTCAGTGTTCGACTTAAATATGAGATAACTTTTTCTTTATCGCCGAACTTTTGGACTAATGTTGCACCCAGGCCGATGTTAGATGCGTCAGTATGAATGTAAGTAATTGCATTCGGGTCAAAGTGCCCTAAGATTGGAGGATTTATCAATGCTACTTTAAAGGTTTGAAATGCTTTTTCTTGATTTTCTGTCCAGGTAAAAGGTACATTCTTTTTTATAAGACTGGTTAATGGATCGGCAATTTTTGAAAAACCTTTGATAAATTTTCTATAATATGAGCACATTCCTAAAAATGATTGAACTTCTTTTATCTTTTTGGGCCGAGGAAAATCTCTAATAGCCTTGATATTATGCTCCGCTGGTTTTATACCATGTTGATTAGTTATATGGCCAAGAATCTCCAGTTCTTCGAAAGCAAATTGGCATTTTTTGTTGTTCAATTTTAAATTAGCCTCGCGAAAACATTTTAAAACAGCTTCTATTCTTTTGAGATGTGTTGAAAAATCCGAGCTATAAATGATTACGTCATCTAGATAACATAAGCAAATTTGCCATCTAAGATTACCAAGCATATTTTCCATGTTCCTCTCAAATGTAGCAGGGGCATTGCATAGACCAAAGGGCATTACGTTGAACTCATATAGGCCATGTGCTGTAGTGAAGGCTGTCTTTTCTTTATCTTTCTCCTCAACCTCTACTTGCCAATATCCTGATTTAAGGTCAATTGCTGAAAAGTATTTGGATCCCTGGAGAGTATCCATTACATCATCAATTCTTGGGATTGGATAAACATCCTTCACTGTTACTTCATTTAATTTCCTGTAGTCCACACAAAATCTGTATTTGCCATCTCGTTTTTGACCAATATAACGGGAAAGGACCAGGGACTTGAAGATTGTCTAATTATTCCTTCTTCGAGCATCTCGTCTATTTGATCCTTTATGATGGTTCGTTCCTTAGCGCTTACCCGGTAAGGCTTGTGCT